TGGTTTCAGGCTGTTTTAGGGTGGTTTCAGGCTGTCTCAGGGTGGTTCCGGGGTTCGGCGCGGGCGCGGCGGGGCCCGGCGCGCGGGTCCGCCCCGCCGCCAGGGGGCGCGCCAGGCCGCTGGCGGCACTCTGCCCGCGGGCCCGTCTCGCTGCTCCGCAGGCCGGAAGCGGAAGTGGCGGCGCCTCCCGCCGCTGTGCCGTGGCGGAAAGATGGCGGCGGCCATGGCCTGAACGGGACCCGGCGCTGCCACAGCGGTGAGCGCGGCCGCGACCTCTCCCCGGTCCTCAACCGGCGCGGTGGCACCCGGTCCCCGTGTCCCTTTAGCCCTCGGGCCAGCGGGAGATCCTCAGTATCTTTGGTGGGCCAGCCCTCAGCTCCCCCCGGGCTTCCCTGGAGCTCAGTTCCTCCTCATCCCGGGGGACCGGAGCTCCTCGCTTCCCTCTCGGCAGGTGGGCCTGAACACACCGCGGGTGATCCCTCCTATGCCCCCTTGCCACCAGCTCCCTCCGTTCTTTCCAGGCTGTACCCTGTGCCTGCTGTTTGTAATGTCTGCATTTACTGCTAGCTTCCTGGGCTCCCTTCCCCCTGTATGGGAGCTCCCGTTATTCCCTTGGTGTCCAGCTGTGCCTGCGCCCTTCCCTGGCTCCCTCCTTCCCCTCCTGGTTCTCCGCTGTGTCTCTGTTCAGCAGGCAGGACTGCCCTTGTTTTCCTGGTGCCTCCCATGAGATCCTTTTCTCAGTCCCTCCCCCTGCTCCCCTTGTCCTCCCGTGTTATTCCCGCTGTTCCTTGTAGCCGCCCCCCTCGCTGTTCTGGCTTCACGTGAGCAGTTCCCTGTGCCCTGGACGCCACGCCGGTGCCAGGGCACGCGTGCTTTCCCCGCAGGATGAAGATGAAGTAGAGCTCTGGCCATGGACCATGAGGCCCCCACCATCAGGCCCCGGCGCATCCAGAACCAGAACGTCATCCACCGCCTGGAGCGCCGCCGGATCAGCTCAGGCAAGGCCGGCACCCACTGGCACCAGGTCCGCGTCTTCCACCAGAACGTCTTCCCCAACTTCACCGTGGTCAACGTGGAGAAGCCGCCCTGCTTCCTGCGCAAGTTCTCCCCCGACGGCCGCTACTTCATCGCCTTCTCCTCTGACCAGACCTCGCTGGAGATCTACGAGTACCAGGGCTGCCAGGCGGCCGAGGACCTGCTGCAGGGCTACGAGGGGGAGATCCTGGCCAACGGCAACGACCAGCGGTCCGTCAACATCCGGGGGCGGCTCTTCGAGCGCTTCTTCGTGCTGCTGCACATCACCAACGTGGCCTCCAACGGGGAGCACCTGAACCGCGAGTGCAGCCTGTTCACGGACGACTGCCGCTACGTGATCGTGGGCTCGGCCGCCTACCTGCCCGAGGAGCCGCACCCGCCCTTCTTCGAGGTGTACCGCAACAGCGAGTCCGTCACCCCCAACCCCCGCTCCCCGCTGGAGGACTACTCCCTGCACATCATCGACCTGCACACGGGCCGGCTCTGCGACACGCGCACCTTCAAGTGTGACAAAGTCATCCTGTCCCACAACCAGGGGCTGTACCTGTACAAGAACATCCTGGCCATTCTCTCCGTGCAGCAGCAGACCATTCACGTCTTTCAGGTGACGCCCGAGGGGACGTTCATCGACGTGAGGACCATCGGCCGCTTCTGCTACGAGGACGATCTCCTGACCCTGTCCGCCGTGTACCCCGAGGTGCAGCGGGACACGCAGACGGGAATGGCCAACCCTTACAAGGAGCCCTTCATCAACTCCCTGAAGCACAGGCTGCTGGTGTACCTGTGGAGGAGGGCCGAGCAGGACGGGAGTGCTATAGCAAAAAGAAGGTTCTTCCAGTACTTTGACCAGCTGAGGCAGCTCCGCATGTGGAAGATGCAGCTGTTGGATGAGAACCATCTCTTTATCAAATACACAAGTGAGGATGTGGTCACGCTGCGGGTGACAGATCCTTCCCAGGTATAGAGTCACAGAATGGTTTGGGTCGGAAGGGGCCTTGAACATCATTGAATTCCAGCTGCCCTGCTAGGGATCCACTAGAGCAGGTGGCTCAGGTACTCCATCCCTCTTCAGGCTGCTCCTTGCTTTGGAACAAGTGCTCGAGCATTACAGTGCTGTGAGCTGTTCCTTAATGAGCCCATAAAGGTTATTTAGGATCCCTAGTACCCGAGTCTTTTTCATGCCTCTGATATTGAATAACTTCCATATCTTTTTTCTCAATTTCATTGCTATCTTCCTTCTCACCTGCAAAATGAGAAGGATCTGATTGTTAGTAAGTCCCTTTCTCCAAGGATTGTTCTTCATGCTCATAGATTCTGTTCAATCCTCTTTCCCTCCCCAAATCCCCAACTGAATTTAATTTTAGCTGATATTTTATATAGCCCATTTAAATTGTAGAGGTAGTCTCTCCCTTTCCTCATATATCTTCAAGCATGTTTTTCAAATATAATAGTCTTCATTTTCCCTGGTACAATTACCATTTCTGTTCTGCCTACGTACTCAGTCTTTCAGGCTTCAGTAAGAGGTAGTATTTATGATCTCTCCAAATTGGAATAGCAGCTTTTAGATCGGGCTAATGGGCCAATTGCTCCTCTTTTCAATTTAGTACTAAAGAAGTGGAATTAGAGCAAATGTAGCTCAGTCAGTGCTGGGTCCCTCCAGATATGTTTCACAACCCTGCATGTTGATCATCTCTTTTTACTGCTTTTAGAATGGTTGGTCACGTTTTGAGCCCTGTGAAATGAAGAGGGTTTTCTAGTTAATTTTTATTCCTTTAATCAGCTTGGTTTTATTCTGTTGAAAGTATTTTGCAAGAATTTTTAATAAATATCCAATGCAGCATGTAGGTCTGATTGTTCCCCAGAGGTTTGTTTTCTCACATGCACTTCTCTTCCCAACGTCTTTGCCAGAACTTAGGTCCTAGAAGAAATAAACAATAGCTCTTTGTGTGTTGCCTTTGTCCAGTTCTTCCTGGGAGATTACTCTGGTTTGTTTTGTTTTATTTTCCTCTTCTGTGGTGTTTGTTTGGGGGAGTTGCTTTGGGAGGAAATAGGTAAGGCTTTATCTAATCCATTTTGCCCATTGGTGTAAAGCTGAATGTCTGTCTCAGAAACAGGAAGGCTCTGTGGAAATGGCCTGCGGGGTTCTGCTCGTTGCTGGTGTCTGGAATGAGCTCCTGGCCCTGATGTAAATGTTTGTGGCTGGCTCAGCTCTTCACTCGGCTGTGGTTAGTAGGGTGTAGTGCCTGGTTTGCTGCAGGGAGCTCTCAACTCTTTTCACCCCAGGGTTACTTTAAGATGCAGTTTGTGGTTTGTTTGCAGTGTGCCTCAGGCACTGGGTTTTGTGCTGGGGGAAAAGTGTCTCATTTCTCAGTTCCTCCAGGAGATAATTCCAGCTGTGGAGCAGTCTCCACAGACCTGTCTGAAGGTAGGCGTTGTGTTAGGGCTTCCTGAATAAAACTTGGCTCACAAAATAACTACAGCTCCCATTTTTCTTCAGTCTGTCAGACAAGGAACACGAAGTTTCATCCAGTTTCAGGCTCCTTTCTCCCTTCTGGCTTCTCTGCCAAGAAGATTGAGGAGTTGCTGTTCATGGTTGTGAGTTGTGTGGTTTTTGTCTGGGTCTGCACTGTATCCTTTGAGATTTTTAAGAGTGTGCTCTGCATAGGTAGCTTGGGGGGTTGTTGCTGTTGTAGGCTTTTGTTGATAGGATTGACAGCGTTGCTGTGTGATTTTTGTGCCACTCAGCTGCCTCCCATGCTCAGATGATGTTTTGGTGGTGTTACAGGTGCTGCAAAAGCAGTGAGGGTTTCCCTGCTCAGGGATGTCCTGTGTAGATGTGTCTCTGTGTTAATCTGGCAAAGGAAATTTTTTTATTTAAAGTTGGAGGATACTTCCTGCAGTCTTCAGTGATTTAAATAGTTTTTTCTTCTGCTGTCTTCTCTTATTTTCTCTCTGCTCCCACCCTTTATTTCAGAAGGGCTTCCCTTTCCTCAGGCAGTAGTCTAGTGAGTAACCTCATCTTGTGTGTTTCGTTTGGACATGTAGGGTCTGGATTGTATTATCATAGTTTATTTTGGGGCTGTAAAACAAACAAACCGTGTGATATTTGCAGGTGGGTGGGTGGACAGAGTGCCTGCCACCATCCCTAAGCATTGTTTGGGAGCAGGAGGTGAAGCATTTAGGAATTGCCTCTATTGACAGAAGATTTAATCAGATACCACGGGAATTAGTTCCCTTTGAAGTGGGGACAAGTTCTTACTTTGGGGTGCCAGCACTCCTGTCTGTAATGAAAACTACTTTTAATGACCAAGAATTAAATATGCCCTTTCCCAATGGGATGGGAATGTCATTTCCCTTTGATTTAGCTGTGCTGACACAATGTCACCTTTTTTCCCAATTTCTTGTTCATTCGTGCCAGGATTCATTGCCATTGCCAGTCCACAGCATGGTACCAGGGCCATTTTGCACAAGAATGTCAGCATTAAGGAGTCATTAATGTATTTCAGATTTTCATTTCTGTGTTGGCAGGGTACCTGGAGGGCATAGCTTTTTGTGGGCAGTGATGTAGTGCACAGTACATTAAAAAGGCTCATCTCTGTGTGATGCAGATATTAAGAAGAGGAAAAAAATAAATCTATGCAGAGGTAAAAATAATTTAAGGTCAGCTACCATTGGATTTGAATTAAATTTTTCAGCAGGAATGAAAATTAAATTTGGCACTTGAGTAAGTGTTTTGGGTTTGATGGAGGACAGAGAAGAAGAGAAAATAGTATGCTTGCATCTAGTTCAAGTTGAAAAATTGGAAGGCCATTAAGTTTTCTTAAATAATCACAGCTGAGAGGTGGATAATTGGGTATGTGTTGAGGCATTTCAATAGGAGAGTGGATTAGTGTGAGGATGTAGGGTTCTCCTGTGCTGTGGGGAAATTTGGATGAGGTCTGTGGTGTGATGTGGGGAGAAGGAAGGGACAGCTTCCCACCTGTGCTCTCCAGGGTAACTGCTGCCTCTCTCCCCAGCCCTCCTTCTTCGTTGTGTACAACATGGTGACCACGGAGGTCATTGCCGTGTTTGAGAACACATCTGATGAGCTGCTGGAGCTGTTTGAGAACTTCTGTGACCTCTTCAGGAATGCCACCTTGCACAGTGAGGCTGTGCAGTTCCCCTGCTCAGCTTCCAGCAACAACTTTGCGAGGCAGATCCAGCGCCGGTGAGCCATTCGGAGCATGCTTTATTCCGTATAGACACACGCTCACCCCCGTCTGCTGAAGGCCAGTATCAAATACCAACCCTGAGATAACCAGCTCCTTTGGTCCCCTTTGCCAGGTGGTGCAAGGGTCAGGACTATACATGGTTCATCTTGCAGCCTGATGTAACTGATTTTATATTCTGCAGCATTTACCTTGTTAGAGGAAGGAGCAAAGCAGTTGCAAACTGCTGCTTAGAAGAAAGGAAAGGAATTTTGAGGGAGAGATGTTTCTATCTCTCCTTGAGCAGTAACTCTTTTGGAGGTTATTGAAGTATTACTACCCAGTAACTTTGGTCCCTGAAGATAGGATTTGTCAAGATGCTGGCATGATCCAGTTGAGTGTATTTTGCTAAGTGACATTCTCTGAATTTAATGTGTACCAAACTGTGTTCTGTAGCATTTCCTTAACATCAGTCACCAGCTCGTGGTTCTCATCACTGTAGTAGGAGAAAGGAAACTCATCTGCTTAGATCTGTTGTGAAAGCTGAACAAAATACCAAAATAACCTGTGTTTCTAGAATATGCTTTAATAGTCAGATGTGGTTTTAATGAGGCAGAGTGTGTTATTTCTCTAGGAAAATTTTGTTGTGACTCAGGATGTTTTGTTCTTCCAGTGACTTGTTTCTCATCATTCAAAGTACTTGCCATCCACTTACAGGCATCAAGCTTCTGTTGACTTTAAGCTGATGTCACATAAGTCTGACGAAATTGACTATGTCTGTAACTTTCTAGAGCAGCCTATCAGGAAATCCATAGTGCTTAATGGGAGAGAGAATGAGAGAACTCGCTGAAGACTCATGAAGAACTACTTCTGCCTTTTGTTAAAGTAGCGAGGAGAGTCTTTTCCTCCTCTTGCTACAAGGACCTGTAACAGGAATGTTGTAACTTTCACGGCAAAGCCAGGGTGAGCTGGCTTCTGGCTGAACGTTTACCCTCCTTAATGCCCCTGCAGCTGATCTGACTGTTCTTGCACAGTCAGTCTTGCACATGTAAAATTTCAAACGTTACTTAAAAAGAGAAATCCAGACTGTGTTAATCTCTCCACAAGGAAGAACTTTCAGCTACTGTAGTTTCTGGAGAGCTTTATGCTTCTCATCAAGGTTCTCCTTAATCTAAAGTTTCTTCCTTTATGCATTTAAAACAATGGGTGGAGAGAGGAGGATTGTCAAGTCAACGTTAAGGGCTCAACTGTTACTGTGAAACCCCCCTGGCTTTTGCTCATGCTGTTTCCAGGCTTTGTGGTAAAACTTGGATTGACTGATAAGCTGCTAATCCATCTCTCCCTGTTTTTGATCCTGTTCATTTCCTGTACTGCAGAGCAGCTGTGTCCAGATGTTGTGGGTAGGGACATTCTTCTCCTTCTGTCACTGACATTCTGAGTGAGCCAGTAATGATAAAGGAGGATGAAAAGGTTAGCAGAACTTGTTGACGTTTGAATCACTGTGATGAATCTTTGGAAATGAGCTGTTTTAGTTCTTACACTGCAGCTGTTTTCTTTCCCTGTTAGTTCTCCTGCTCAGTTTATTTCAGATGTGCTCTTCACCCGTGGCCTTTGTGATCAAAAGGTGTCTCTTGGTTTGCTGCAGGTTCAAAGACACGATTGTGAACGCCAAGTACGGAGGGCACACGGAGGCCGTGCGGCGCCTGCTGGGGCAGCTCCCCATCAGCGCCCAGTCCTACAGCGGCAGCCCCTACCTCGACCTGTCCCTTTTCAGCTACGATGACAAGTGGGTGTCAGTCATGGAGCGGCCCAAGACCTGTGGTGATCACCCCATAAGGTATGAGGAGCTGTAAGTGAGGAGAGAGTGCAAGGAGTCCCTGTAAATCACCTCTGCCATGTGGCTTCAAGTGTGCAGAATAGGGAGTAGAGGGAAGCCTTTATCTTAGGAAATCCTTTCACCAGGGGATTTATTTCAGCAGTCCCACAAAACCTGGCCTCTCTTTTTTACAATAATGTGGATGTGTGGGAGGGCTCTTCATGTTTCCTTGCTGAGTTGCTCTGCTCTGGGGAAGGTTTGGGTGGTGAAGTCTCAGCCTTTTCCATATGAATGGTCTTGTTCCTCCTCCTCTTCTTGCAGTGCTGCCGTTGTGTTTGGGTTGCAGCGTGATACAGCTCTGATGTCTGCTTTCCTATGCTGGAAGGATCCTCTCTGAGCATGTGGGTTTAGTTGGCAAGGATTGTCTGGTTTGTCCTGTGAATAAAATAGTATCTGGGCTAGGTGTTACTCAGAAAGCTTGTGGTATTGATTGAGCTGTTTTCAGACTTCCCTTGTTTACTGTTCTCACCCTGGGAGCTGTACTCCTTGTCATACTCCCTTCTCTCTGTGATCTGTAGGAAATTTCTGTCTGTAGTAGGAATTTTAGCCAAGTGTCAGGGCCATTCTGTGCCTCTTCTGTCTGAGCCTACAATGCTGGCAGAGGGAGTAAGTCTGAGCTTGAGAATAAGGAGGTTTGCAATGCTTCTTAAAGAAACATCAGGACTATTTATTTCTTTTTGTTGGCTGCAGCCATGGCTGCAAGAGGTAGTGGTTAAAAATCCAACATCTCCAGCTTGACAGGCTCACACAGCCTGAGTTATCCAGGCAGAATAGTCTTTCTGCTCCTAGTACTGCAGAAGCAAACCTATGCTCTGAAAACAAAGAGAGCCTTCAGTGCCTGAGTGCTTTGTTTAGTGACTGCACACATGTTGGGGGCTCAGGCAGCCTAGGGAGATCATTCTGGACCGCTTCCCTACTTTATTTTCATCAATGCATTTTCAAAAAGTGGTTTCATATCTCCCCTGGCTCTGACTCAGGTGGCGGGGAACTTCTGATTATTGCTGCGCTCTCAATTCCCAAATTATGTATATTTAATAGATTCTTCTGCCTGTATGATTTGGTTTGATCTCCAGCTTCCATGTTATCTGCAAAGAAAGCCTGCCCTTTTCCCCCTTGTCATGCTTGACGTTGGGAAAACTTGCAGGGTGGCAGTTGTCTGCCAGCGCCAACCTGCGCCCGGCTCCCGCGGACAAAAGGCAGCAGAACCGCAGTCATGTGCTGCGGTGGAGTCTTTGTAGTAAACAAAGCCAAGTGCCACCTTCCCTCCCTCCCCTGAGCAAACCAGCGTTTCAGAGCCAGAGCTTTTAAAGCTCAAAGCTGTGCAGAGTCAATTAGGACTTGAATAGAGCTTTGGAGCAGTGGGGCTCCTGGTTTTTGGAAAGTAAGCAGAAGATGAGGCGCTAACCTTAACCATTCAGTAGCTGAAATAGTGCTGCTGTGGTTCTCACATGCAAAACAAAGGGATTAATAAAATAATGCCAGCTGCCTGTTGGGGTTAGAGGGCTTGGAAATGAGGGACCACAGGATTTGTAATGTAAGTCCTGTAATTGTCTGGAATGGAAAACCCTTCGGTAGCTAAGGTTGTTATAATCTGTGTGCAGTTTAATGGCACGATGTGAGAGCTAGGAAGGTTTCCAGACCTTTTCCACATCAATTCAATATTTCTGTGCACTGTGTTCTTTTAACCCTTAGGGATTTTCTGCATCCCAGAGGGTTCAATTCTACCTACTTAAGAGCCAATGGTTGTTTGCTGTCAGATGGGAAGGACTATAGGTTCCCCATCACCACTGCCTTCCAGTCTCTTTTCAGTAGACTTGAAGAGATATTCAATGGGTGAAATGATGGCACTTGAGGGAAGAGGCTCTAACACAGCTCTACCTATAGCAGGGGGTCTCTAAAATCCATCTAGATGGCTAATAAGGAGCCATTTAACCAAAGAATTGGTCTGCAGATAAATCTTCCATTTTCCTACGGTTTGAAAAGGCTGGTCTTGCTGTTTCTGTTGACATACAATTTTATATTGCAGTGCCTAATTTATCCCCAGAATGAGAGCCCATGGAAATGGCCTCTGATTGCAGAGCACTTTTAAAAATACATTTAAAAATACCAAACTGAGCACATCTTTAAGATTACAGGGAGCTTCATCTTGAGTAGTAAATTGTTGTGAATTGGGGGAGAGCGGAACAGATGGGGGACTGTGCTTTATTTAAAGAATGACCCTCTGCATACCCAGCCTTGTGTAGGAGGGAAAGGGCTTTTTGAAAAGCCAAATACCAAGATTGTGACTCTCTTGCTGGGTTCTTGTGTGCAATTTTCAGGCAGGTCTGGCTAGCACTTTGATTCAGGGGAAGGGAGAGGAGAGTGGCCCTCCAGGAAGAACATGAAGTTCTCAATAGGCTGTGTTGTTAAAATGTGGAGTATGTCTGCTCCTGAAGCAGCATCGCTGGTATCTGTCATCATCCGTTCTTGCAGGCTGAGAGCTGAGTGCATCGTATTGCTGGCGGGGGGGAGATGTGCTCCAACATTAAAAGCATTCTTGGAGTTAAAATCAGAGGAAAATGCAAAATACCCGCATGCACTAAGTGTTGGTGGAAAAGAAAACAGCTGGGAGGCATAATGGCAATTCTGTGCCTGAAGCTGGAAGAGGTCTAATGAAAATGGTCTAACAAACAGAGACAGCTTCAAGGGGAGGACTTGAGTTAGAACCCAGCTACTTGGTGAAGGTATCACATGCAGAAATCTCCAACACTACATCCCAGAAGCCTTCTCCAAATCTTGGGGAGGGTGGGATCCTCACAGAGAGTCCTGTGTTCTGACAGCAGCAGAGGACAGTGGTGTTACCTGGGCTTATGTCAGTTACACAGAGTGTGCAGGGGAGGTTCAGGAAGCAGAGAGGTTCCCTGGACTCACCTGTCCTTCAGCGCTGTTTGACTCATCCCCCTGAAAATGTTCCCTCTGTGCTGGAGCTGTGTTCCAGAGCTCACCTGATGCATATGAGCTTGACCCACAGGCAGGTGTGTGGGTGACAGCAGAAGGTCATAAGGTTTTCCTTGACCTCTGTCCTTGCTGTAGTTATTGAATCCAATTCATCAGGTACCTCCTGCACAGCCTATCCCATTAATGCTTTATTGGTGGCAATCTAAAAGGAATTGCAAAGCCTTACTTGAGCTGTACACTACAACATGGCACCCTTGGGCAGGATTGGATCGACTTCCTTGACTGAACAGGGAGTTATCAGGCACAAGGACAGCAGTGTAAAGCCTTCCCTGGCACTACCACGAGGAGGAAAGGGTGGCCTGACACTCTCAGTGAAGGCCATTGCTAAAGGAAGGGAGCTCAGTTCTGTACAGTTTATCTGCCTTATGGATCAAGGGCAGCAGCTTGCATTAAGAGAGGATGGAGAGCCAGCACAGGTGGGGTGTGAACCAAACTGACTCCCTCTCATGAAGTCAGCTTTGTCCATCAAAGTGACAGACAGAGTTCTCTCATTGCTGCTAATAAAATAAAAGTGATGTTTTTCTAGACAGTGGAAAACAACTGCCCTGAGAGGGACTTTCCTGCAAAGCCAAGAGCCAGACACCCAGCTGAGGACCTTCTGCTCCTCAGGGAGCACCAGAGCTCGAGCAAGGCACTTGTCTCTGTGTGCGAAGAGCCCAGATGGCAAAGTCAATAGTCGGGAACAGCCATAATTGACTTTCTTTTCCTTTCAGATTTTACGCCCGTGATTCTGGCCTGCTGAAGTTCGAGATCCAGGCGGGCCTCCTGGGGCGCCCCATCAATCACACAGTGCGGCGCCTGGTGGCCTTCACCTTCCACCCCTTCGAGCCCTTCGCCATCTCGGTGCAGCGCACCAACGCCGAGTACGTGGTCAACTTCCACATGAGGCACAGCTGCACCTAGGGGGACTCAGGGCTGCTCTCCTTGGCTCTGGGCCTCTGCCACAGGTGCACCAAAGCCAGACACTCACACCTTCTGGGAAACCAAACCATTGCTCCTGGAAAGAAGCCTCACCTTGGAGCTCCTTCCTGTGGCATTGCAGGGCCCTCAGCCTCAGCTGTGGAAAGCTGATCCACCCCAGTTATAGGCATGGATACTTCTGACTTGTACTGTGGAGATCCCCCTGCTGTCCTTCCCTGCTCCTGTTGATGAACAAAGCGTAGCTGAGGTTCCTTTCCTGGTTTCCCAGAGGCATGGCTCTTTCCTATCCTGCTGTGGGTCTTAGGATGGCAGAGATGGAGCTTTGCATCACACTTGTGGAGCACTCCCTTCTGCACTGGTGCTCTCCTACCGTGTTGGACAAATGACCTGTCACAGAGGGAAGGGATGGGAGCCATGGGGAGGGCTTGGATACAGCTACCCCTGTTTGTATCTTCAGAAGTGCTAGGGAAATGAGATCCTGCTCTCATCCACACAATCTCCACATGTCATTTTAACATGCAAGAGATCATGAAAAAAAAGGTGGGAGAAATCACTACAGTTGAGAGACATGGGGTGTGTTCCTGACCCTTATGCAAGTCACTTAATCTTTGTGCCTTAGTAAAAGCTCCTAAGTGAGAGATGGTGTTATACCAGCAAGCCAGGGCAGCTGGTTGTGTCTGTAATGCACGAGGAGGTGGGTGCAGGAGGAAGATGGCTGTCTGGGAAGGCTGTGGGGAGCAACAGCAGCTCCTTGGTCATATCAGAAGGACTTTTCTGCAACATGGGGGTTAATCCTTGTAGCCATCTGCACATTCTGCTGCTGAGAAGAGGGAGATCCAGCTGCTGGCACCCTCACAGAAAATGAGTAGGATTTGCCCAGGAAGAAGGGTGGAGACCTGAATTCATGTTCACTGCTGTCGTGGGCAGTCTGGAGATGAACTTGTTGCTTACCTCTGTCTGTTTGATACACTGTTCTCTGTGAGAACCCAGATGTTCTTTCCAGGCTTCAGAGCACAGCTGGCCAGTGTGGCAGTGTTGGCTGGACCATGGCAGTGTTTGTGCTGCTGATAAATTAAGCTCCTGGGTGTAATTACCTGCCACTGTGGGCTGGTGCAGATGCTGGCCTGCCCTTCTTGCTTAAAAATGGAGTTTTTGGTTGTGGGCCAGCATTTGGGGGTTTTTACATGAGGGCTGGTTTATAACTGCTGCCAGGCAGCACAATCATCCCTGCATCACGATGTGCTCCTTCAGAAGCTGCAGCCTGTTCTTGTCCCATTCCTTTAGGAGGTACAGTGGGGGCAATAGAAAATTGGTGCTAATACACAGGAGACCCTCTCTGTTAAAGGACCCTGTGGGTGTCTTAATTGGACCAAAATGAGCTGTGGGTGATGTGTTGTAGCCACATACCTGTGAAGAGGAGTGCTGGAGTCATGCATTCATTTTGCTGGTGATGCACTGGAGAAGAGCTGTGTGGGTGGGGGTGCCTGCTCATGCTATGAGTGGTGGACCTCAGAATTAAGGGTATCCTGGGGTCCTTGAATCAGCCTTCACTCTCTGCCTCAATGCAGTTCTTTCCTGGCCTTGCTAAACATTATTTCTAGGAAGACAATGCATTTCACTGCTTTTTTCCTGGTGTTTGCACTGTTGGTGTCTCAGGTCTGTCAGGAGTGCCAGCGGGTCAGGAGACTGCTAACAGAGGAGGTGTCAGTGCTTTAGCTGCAGGTTCCTCTCATCTAATAACACTATTTGTTAAGGTTTTAGGGTTTTATCCTGTGATCTGTTCCTCAAACATTCAATTAAAGCTCCAAGTGGAGAATCGTTTGCACACTGTAGATCATGGATTTACCTCCCTCTGCACCACTCTCACAGCTGTTCGCACTTCAGTATGAGACTTTTTCTTCTCCCCAAGCTTCCAGCTGCTCCATCTGAGACTTTGTTTACTCCTTGGTGTCACAGCCTCAGGAAGTCAGTGCTTACTAAATTAGCTGTCAGATCTCCATTGAGACTCTTTTTTCAGTGCCAAAAATATAAACTTCAGCATTTCTGTAATAGGGGCTTTTGCTAAATTCAGGCTTCCCTGTGTGAAGCAGAGTGTGGCATGGATTGTTGGCCATGGGGCTGAGAGAGATCTGTTCTTAGCTCTGCTATTAAATTGTGAGGCTGGGGGCAAATCTCTTCCTACTCCAGCTGGTGTTTTCTTCTCCGTAAATGAGGCCAAAAACATATTTTCATCTTTTGTAAAGCACTTTGAGATTCATGGATAAAAAGTGCTGGGTAAGTGCTAAGTATTTTCTTATTATGTTTGCAGACAAACTGATCATACTGGGTACTAATTGCCTTGGAGTAGCACAGCAGATCCTCTGGTCTTGGCTGCTGCATTTTATATCAACAACAGAGTTAATTTTGTTACAGAAATGTATGGAAGAAAAAGTCTCTCATGCTTGAAAATTTAATGCATTGATTTAAGAAACAAAAAGGGTGTGTGGTGGGGAGGAAAGGAGAAAAGGGGAGATATTTTCTACCTGATATTTTTCCTAGGTTAGGGTAAAGATTTGTTAGCAACACAAGACAAAAACAGAATAAACAGAATTTGCTTTAAAAGTTTGATTTATTGTCTTTATCTTCCAAAAATCTGAATGGTATAGATGGGAATTCCTTTGCTAAGAAGAGATGGCAGGGCTGTGCAGACATATCCCATGGGACTTGCTGCTTCTTCTTGGCACTTGGAGTACAAATGTCCTTAAGAATGTTCCCACCTGAGGCATTTCTGCAGTTCCTGCAGATTTCTAAAATTCTTGTCTACATGAACTAATGCTGGGAGAGGATTTCTTGGTTACATTTTTCCCTTTGTATATTATTACTAGCCCAGCTTGTACTCAGGGACTCTTCCTTTATTCTATTTACAGCGTTTATCTAACCTTTTGGTCACTTTCTGCATGATCGAGGGATGAAAGCTTGTTGTGGTTTAACCCCAGCTGGCAGCTCAGCCCCACAGAGCCACTTGCTCAGTCCCTCACCAGTGGGACTGGGGAGGGAATCAGGAGAGTAAAAGTGAGAAGACTTGTGGGTTCAGATAAACACTGATGAATGGGCAAAAGCCACATGCAAGAAAGGAAACCAAGGAATTAATTCCCACTTCACATGGTCTGGCAGGTATTTAGCCATCTCCAGGAAAGCAGGGCTCCATCCCCTTTTGCCCCAGCCAATGCCAGCACAAAGCTGAACACACCTTGCTTGGCAGAGCAGCCTGTCCACTGCTTTTAGGTTGGGCTGAGGCACTCAGATTTTCCATGTGCTGCTCCCTGCCTCTTGCAGAATGGTCTGGCTGAGAACCCTGCAGCATCCCTGTTTGTGTTAGTTCCTCTAACCATCTACATCTTGAGCATGAAAGTGATTTTCCTTTGAACCTTTGCTCCATTTCTCAGATGCTTTCCCATGCAGACCTTGAGCACACCAGAAAGCTCTTGAGCCCATGGCTTTTCAGATAGGCACTAAGTGAGGAGGGGATGCTTGAGCTGGAAACTGTGTTTGACAGCAAAAACCCATCTTTTGTTGTTTCTCGTGCTGCCTTTGCTTTAAGAAAATAAAGTAGTGAAAGCAGGACAGCTGCATTATTTCTTATATAAAAGGCATTAGGCAGCAAGGCACAGAAATCCCATTAGAGTCAAACATATGGATATGTTTAGGATGTGTCCCTACTAAAGACTCCTATCAAATAACCTTCCAGTGCTCATGGCTGGCCCTGATTTAGCTGTCTGTGTGTACTGACAGGACCTTCCTTTTGCTCAGGTGCTGCATCTGTTAAGCTCTTCCCTTGGTCATTTGGACCCAGCTAGAAGAATCAGATTTCTGATGCTTTAAGGAATCCCTTTGTTTTTCTTCTTTAGGATCTGTCTTGCTGCTTTTCTGCCAGCTTTTCCTGCAAGGATCTTTCAGGGCTGTGGGCAGAGAGATGGTAAAGGGATAGCAATGAGACATGTGGCCCTCTCACAGCTGTTGTCCTTCTGGGAGCCTTTATCAGATAGGTGCACGCTGCAGAGCAAATGCATATCCTGTGGACAATGGGACAGGATTTTGTGGGTTTACTTCATCCTTGCTATGCAAGTTCCAGAGTCTGTGTCTTTGATGTGCCTGAATCTTGTGCTTCCTTGTCTTGTTACATGGTAGTAAAAGCTTTTCTGGTCAAATACTCCTGAGGAGGAGGGAATGGTGAAATGGCTTTTTATTTTTTATTGTTTTCCTCGCTCAGGGGCTGTGGGCTGAGCTGTGCAGTGCAGTTCCAGCCTGGTGCTGGCTCAGGCAGCCCCAGCCCCTGCTAGAGCTGTTTGCTGACCATGGTTTGATTTGACTTTGTTTCTCTTGGGGAAGAGCTGTACTTACTCTGTAAGGAAATAAATTCTTAGAAAAATACTGATGTGGGAAAAACACTGAATGGCACCTTTTTTTTTTTTTTTTTTTTTTACGATGTTTTGACATAAAAATACTACATCTTTAAGCTAGCAATGTGCAAACTGGTAATTCATGCTCAGCTGCTGTGATCTTTCATGTGAGGAGAACTGGAAAGAGAGACATTGCCCTTGGTTCTGGCTACTCTGGGCTGTGCTGCAGCATCTGGGTAACATGTGGGCCCTCACTTGATTAATGAGTTGAGCACAGTTATAGAGGAGTGTGATGGGATGGTTCATGGATGCCCAGGGCCCTTGGATAACACTACCAAGTCCCCAGCATTTGCTGCATTCTGCTCTGTCCAGGGACGAACTGGAGCCTTTGGATGAGTTTATTTTCTGTGGATGATAAAACGAGTTTGAGTTCAGTCTTTTTAAAGCCAGGAACATGTTATTTCTCCTTTCCATGGCTGTCTTCTTCCCTTCTACCCAGCAGCTTTGCAAAATGCCAAACGCAGTCCAGAGCAGCCCTGGGTTTGCTCAGAGGGCTGCAGCCTCCCTAAACCCCTGGTTTTGGCAGTGAATTGTTCCCTCTGAAAGCTGCTCTCGCACAAGTTCATCCTTCCCTCTGCCAGCATCCTTCCTCTATCCAGGTGGGTTGTAACAGCATCAGGTATGGAGGCAGAAGGGCATGAGAGAGAGTTGGGTGGCTGAGGACACTGTCACTGTCCCAGTGCCTGACTGGGCAGCAGCTTCTGGTCACCATGGATGGGGCAGGTGAGGGTGCACTGGCAGGGCTGACATCAGCCCTGGGCTGGAGCCCTGGGGCTGCTGGAGCTGGGATGTGTGGGACGCGTTGCTTAGAGGGTTTGGAGGGGTGAG